CAACATCTGCCTGCTGGCAACACAAACAAACAACAGCGAAATGTTTACTTTGCATTGGATGCATATCAAAATGACGAGGACGCCGACATTGATGAGGAGGATGACGATTACGAGGATGATGACGATGATGAGCACGAGTTAAAGCTAACTGGAAATGGTTTTAAGGCCACGCCACCTGCCATTTGCAACGCTTACACGCGCAAGCAACGGCAGCAGCAGCAACAGCGCTATATAGCACCACGGCCCGAACAGCGGCTAGAGAACTGGCGCTATCGCAGCAGCCATCAATCGGAGCAGCCGCAGCAGCATACACTTGTTGCCGCCGGCGGTTTTCGCAAATATCGTCCACCATTTAGCACTGGCGGCGGTGGCGGTCACTATGGCAATCAGCAGCGCAACTATTTGGGCAGCTTCTCGCACAGCGGCGGTGCCGCTGGCTACAAAATAGCGCCAACAACAGCACCACAGCCACCGCTGGCGGTAAAGCAACAGCAGCAGCGGCACAATAGCGCCGGGAGCAGCAGCGGCGGTTCGCCACCATCCGATGAGCATTCGCCCGCCACACAGATACGCAACTGGCGGCAGGACTGCGTCTATGCGCCGATGCGCAGCTGCGGCATGAACCAGCCCAGAGGCATGCAACGCGCCCATCAACAGCACCAGCAGCCGCCTGGGCGCATTGGTTCCGGGCGCTTTACGCACTCATCGCAGGTGCCGCCGCATCTGTTGGATGAGCCGCCCACATTGGGCATAGGTCTGTCGCCGCCCAGCGAGAGCCTGTTGCTGCAACGGCGCATGCGGCAGCAACAGCGACCCGGTGACTTGCCCGAGTACTGTGAGACCGCCACGGCCAGTGGCTAAACGGGCGCTGGAACCGCAACATCCACAACAACAAGAGCAGATGTGAGCAGGCGTCGGCTGCTACTGGGCAGCACAATGTTTGGCCCGACATTGTGGAAACTCTTGCGGCGTTTTGGCCAAAAAAAAAAAAGAAACATGTTAAATGTTTTCTTTTTTTGCCCGATTTTTTTTTTGTTTTTTTTCTTTGTATAATTCTTTTTTTTACATACAAATCGCAAAACAACAAACAAACAAAAATAGCAAACAGACTATAATTATTCATTTGCAATACACAAATTCTTGAAACTTTCTACAAAAACTGTTTACAGAAAGAAACTACTTAAAATCCGTTTTCATTTAATGCAAAGTTTAAAATTCTGTTAATGAGATTCTTAAGAAACGAGCTGAAAGAAGAAGAAGCAAAGAGCGCCTTAAAAAAGCAATCCAAACGTGCTGTTTAATCGTGAAAGTTAACGAAGAAAAACCAAACAGTCGTTCGAAAAAAAAAAAAAAAAACAAAAAAAAATATATAAACAAAACCTTTTTTTATAAAAAAGATTTAAAAAAGTGAAAAAAGAACATGTAATTAATCGCTATAATTTTTTTATTATGAAAATAAAAACAAAAACATGAATGAAAATTGTGTTTAAGCGAGTTACACACATACACACACACACACACACACACACATACACACAAATAACTAAACGTAGAAACTATTTCTATTTTTGAAAAGAAAGAAACCCAGTTGGCGCCAAAAAAAATGTTTAACTTTTTGTGCTTTTCTGTTGAGACTAGAAGAAGCAGAAGTGATTGTTAGTTATTTTCTGTTTTTGGCCGAAATATATCAATTATGAAAAATTTGTAAACAATTAAGGAAAACCAAAATGTACAACACGAAAAACTGTTGAAATTTTGATCATTTTCATTTCAATTAACAAGAATTGTTACAAAAATGCCTAAAAAAAAAAGAAGAAAGAACCCAAAACGAACATTAAAAAGTTGACGAACTTAGTTACATTTTTGACGGGCTCTGAACAAAAGTTCGAGTCGCCACACTCAAACACACATGTACACAGACGTTGCGTTTGCCTAGTGAGACTTTTGAGAATTCCTAGCTATTTTATACGCAATTTTTATAAAAAATTGATTTGGAACAAATAAATGTAATATAACAGTTGCATATAAAATAGCTGACTATTGTTTTAAACTCCACTCAGGCAATTTTACTTAATATGCGCTTAACGTTTATGTTAAAAAATAAAACATAAAACAAACAAAAAAAAAAAAACAAATTCCCATTCCTTTAACATGCATGTTAAACGCATATTGAGTGCTACAAATTCTAAAAAAGGGCATACCCCAACACTTTTTTACCAACTAAATTTCAACTTTTCCAACACTAAACACAAACATTTATTAAAATATAACAAACAAAAAAAGCAGAGAGAATTCTTGACACATTGCTCAACAGGTTTTTTGCTGGGCGTAAATAACAATATTGAAATGGAAAAATGTGTTAATTACAAAATAAAAAAAAATAATAATAAAAATTGTGATATAAAATGTAAATGTAAAATGCACCTGAAGAATGAAGAAAAAGAAAAAAAAACTATCAACTGACGCTGTGCCATTAACAACAACAACAAAACACGACCACAACAACAACTACATAAAAATACTAATAAAAGTAGTAAACAGAGTTTAAGGGAGACAGAAATTTGTTTAATTATTATTATAATAATTTTGTTTTTTGCATACGTTTACGCCCCAACGAGATCAGAGAATGTCGGAATGCTTTGCGCCTCAATTAATTGTATACATAAGAACATACTTCTATTTTTCCAAACAACAAAACTGTTACTAAAAACTATAAAAAAAAAAAAAACAAAACAAAATACAATACTTCCACAAACAAACAAAAATAATTTAAATGAGAATCTAACTATTGCTATGCATAAAATACATCAACAAAAAAAAAAAACAATCCTATTAATATCAAACTTTTTTAAAAAACAATAAATTCACTTACAATTTGAAAGAATTATTTTTAATATTTAAGTGCGAGTACCCCAGATAATTTAAAACTAATTTATACAAATATGTATTCCTATGAAACAAAACAAAAAAACAACTAGTTTGTTTGCATTGTAAACAGGAACTCACGATGATATTTGATAATGATGGCAAAACAAAAAAAAAAAAAAAAAAAAAAACAAACTAAGGAACGCTCTTGTTTTAATTTGTAAAACTGTGAGAAATGTTTCGCAACGAAACAAAAAAAATATATGTAATAACAATTATAAGTAAAGGGAACTAAACGAGAGGCATGTTAAGCAAGCAGCGCTCCAAAAAAGAATCGTATACTATACACAACACTACTTTACACAACACTACACAGCACTATACTACACAAACTGACACACACACACACACACACACATTTACATATACTACACAAGTTTACTTTAATTTTTATTCTTTGGCAAGAAAATGTCCATTCAAAAACGAGTAATATTTGGCCGCAAACATTTATACTAAAAACGCGCTGCTTTACTCATTGAAACAAAAAAGAAATAAATGAAAAAAAGGAAAGCCAATATACACTTTGTCCCACTGGGAGTAGAGTATATTTAAGTGTGTGCATAGCCATCGAGCGAGTATTTGAGAGCGTTGTGAACCGCAGGAATGTTTGAAATGAATGCAAACAAAAATGTCCGAATATATTTCTATGCGAAGAATTGTTTTTTCCTTTTTTAAATAATCAATAACACAGCAAAAAACAGATCGAAATGATGCAAAAGTAAAAACAAAAACAAAAAAAAACATACTAAAAAAAGAAGATATATTGTTTTATACATAAAAACGAAGAAAAAGTCAATAAAAATGCAAAATATACAAAATGTTAAATGGTTCGAGTTTTACTTAACTGAGCACTAGCAAGCATTACCCGGCTTAGCCCGGGGCAAGTTCTTTTCGGTCTGCAATGAACAATTTTTAACGATTATCGGCTATAAAATTCGATTTGGAAGTGGGACAACATTTAAAACTCATACGGATCAAAAATTAAATTCTATAAATTTACTAAATTTGACACAAATGTCAAAGGGGTTGCTAACAATTTGACGAAAGTAGAGTTGGCTGTAAAGTAAATTACTTTTTTAATGCAATCAATTCTCTCTCTATAAAACATATCCTAAAATCGAAATTTATGGAATCATTTAAAAAATTGTTCTGTATATAAGTATGATCTGTAAATATGTTCAAGAAAGTAAATATGTATTCGATTTTCAGACGCTCAAAGTTAACTTATTCTTATTCGCGTTTTAAATTAAATTAAAACGAGAAAAAAGGGCTATCTTCGGCACGCCAAAGACTTAATACCCTTGCAGACCCAACATTTTCATAATGCTTATAGTGCTTTGCCCCCATCTAAGAAGTACCGGGAAAATAGTAAATGCCGAGTTTGGTCAAGATATCTTGATAAACAAAATGTTTTTTCATACAAAAACTTAATTTTCGACCGATCGTTCCTATGGCAGCTATATGATATAGTGGTCCGATCCAGCTGGTTTTCACATATGTGCTGCGTGCAACAGAAAGAGGGAGTTCTGCAAAGTTTCATTAAGATAGCTTTAAAACTGAGGGACTAGTTCGCATAGAAACAGACAGACGGACATGACTATATCGACTCGGCTGTTGATGCTGATTAAGAATATATATACTTTATGGGGTCGGAGATGTCTCCTTCTATGCGTTACACATTTCACGACAAAATTATAATACCCTCTGCAAGGGTATAAAAATGCAGCTTTATCCGTTCCCACGAATTTCTTTTGATTGTGGATCGTATGAAGTTTTGCACAAATAGTGTTTGCCTAATGGTCGCCCGTTTCTACTGATGGCTCTCATAAAATCATAAATTATTAACAAAATTGCGAGACATTTATTGACGTAAGACACATCAACATAATTCTAATACATAACAAGCAAAACTTTTGAACATTTTTAAGGTACAACCACTTAAAATATATGTAGTATAAGTATTTTTCAGTTTCGTTTCGTAGGCGGCGCACCAGATGAGTCCAGTCATTTGGATTTAAGTTTCAACATTTCTATAGATAGTTGATTTATATTTTTGCATATCAAGCAAGTGTGCTTTGAGTCCTGCTCCTTACTAGCTATAATAGTTTTCGTTTAGGTAAGCGCTAAACTTTTTTGTTTCTCAGGTGATCCTCAGCTAAACGCTGGTGTGTGCGCCCTGATTGACTGCGCCGTTTCCTTGTGCCTCCATGAGATTGGCTCGAATGTCGCCAGACATGGAGTTTACAGAGGTGATGGTGCTATTGACGCCCTCGTCACTGGAGCTGCCTGCGAGCAGGGGCTTCACATCTGGCGGATGTTCGCGGGCTGAAGGCTCAAAGCTCTGATTGTTAATGTCCTCAATGGCTTTGCGAAGCTAGAAAACAACGGCTCATTGGCGGAAATAGTTTGGATAGTTGTGCCAACGTTGACTCACCTCCTTAAGGCTTACCACGCCCACAAGGCGACCAATATTTGTCACGTAGGCGTGATTAACGCCCATCATGGAGAACAGGGAGTGCACGCGCAGCAATGAGGTGCGTTCCACCAGCTGAAAGGGTGAAGGATCCACGCGTGCCGCACAGTTGTAAAAGTCTATAGGCTTGGCCAATTGATCTAGCTCCCAAAGCTTCTTGCCCTCGGGTGACATGTCGACGACACGATCGCCAATCTAATGTTGGGCAATGATTAGAGACTTAAGTTTTTCAAAACATTCAACAGCAGTTACCAGGTGCACACGCTTTGATGGACTGGCCACGGGCTGCAGCTGCTCATTGGAACCAGTTTCGAGATCGAGCACCGGATCCGAGGATTTCTTGAAAATGGACTGAAAAGCCGTGCGCAGCGGGGACTCGGAATTGCTGTGAACGCTGTTTAGCGAGTCGCTGGATTGCTGATTGCTTTTCTTCAATATGGACTTGTGCGTCTCGGCTTCCGCAGCGTTAAGCTGGTGCAGATTCAGCATGTCCTGGGTGGCCACAACGTCGAAGCGTGACGGGCGTCGCACAGAAGACTGCTCCTTGATCTCCTCTTCGCGCCATCTTTGCGCCATTTCCATGCGCTTCTCGCGTCCAACCTGATCCTCGATTAATTTAACCAACTCCAGACGCTGCACGGAGCCCAGAAGAATCATATTTTCTGGACTCTCAACCAAGGGCAGCGAGCGTAGCTTCTTGTTCTGCCGCAACAGATCCTTGAGGCTCTGGTAGGAGATGCCCTGCCAAATGTACTTGACATCGCGCAGCATAAAGTCCGCCACATACTTGTTGTACAGCGAGGAGTTTGTGTAGAGCAGATCGGGTAGATAGGGCAGCTTCTTGATCATTATCACACTCTCGTACATGGACGGCTGCAGCAGCGAGGCCACCGCATTGGCCACCAGCACAGCCACCAGCACGGGCACCACAAACGCAATTTGTCCCGTGATCTCAAACACGACCACGGCCACCGAAATGGAATGGGTCACCGAGCCGGCAAAGGCAGCAGCGCCCACAATGGCATACGCCGCCGGCATAATAGGTGACATGCACTCGCCATAACGCACGCCCAGCGGAAAAGTCCAGGCCACAAATTCGCCAATCAAACGACCAAAGCCGCTGCCAATCTTCAGAGCTGGTATGAACATGCCATGCGGCACGGCCATCGTGGAGCCAATGATGGAGAAGAAGTACTGCGGGAAGCGGAAGTAATGGATGAGTAGTTGGTTCTCTGGCTGGGTCAACAGCTACCTACATGGAAGAGCGTATAGCTAATCAGATTGCCAAAGATGCTGGTGTAGTTGGTTTGCCAGTGGGCGACAATGTTCGCCTGCTCCGCGCTCATATCCTTCTCGGTCCAGGTAAAGTTACTAAAGAGCTCAATCAACTGATCCTCAGTGCTGAGATCACCGCCCAGAAACTTGCCGGTGCCCAACGGGAAGGTCAGCGTGGATATCAGCAGGGCCAGCAGGCCGGGATATAAGAGGCGACTGTTAAAGAGCGAGACTCGGCATTGAATTAATCGTTCATGATATTATCTATATACAGAAAACTGTTTGTCTGATTGACTGACTGATTGAGTGATTGACCATGAGGTTAACTGACTGATTAATTGACTGACTGATTTACCGAGTGATTGACGGATTAACTGACTGACCGATGGACTAACTATCGGACTGATTAGGACTTATGAGAAATAGCGCGTTTTTCGATCACAAAATAAACTTACTTCTTTTGCAGAAACTTATTCAATTTCTTGCTGGAGCGTATGAAGAGCACATACTGACGATGCACCCAGACAAAGGAGGCGCCCAGCAAGCCGCAGAGTGCACTTGAAGAATATAACGAGATATATATATTTGAAGAAAGGACGAAAGATTACAAGTCTAACAAAGAGCTTACCCAGTCAAGGCGAAGAAGACAAGCTCCCGCGAATCGAAAGGAAACTCTGTGCTGATATTGGTAGGATAGACAGCGGTAACTGTGTCAGCGCCCTGGAACCACACGGCCAAAAGTCGCACCGCCGAAGCGCCCACCACACAGCCAAAGAAACCACGCCAATAATTGCGCACCGCAAAGTATGTGGTTGTCACCTCAATGCTGAAAAGCACAGCTGAAGCATGACATTCATTAGTTTACATATACTGAGTCTTAGATCAGCTTCCGCCTCACCTCCGATGGGCGCCGCAAAGCAGGTGCCCAGACCCAAGGCGCAGGCAGCGGCCAGCATTTCGGTGCTGCGCGACTCATTCTGATAGATGCTGCGAAATGGCGTTGCCAGTTTGCTTAGGAGATGCGCCACAATGCTGGCGATGTGCACATAGGGACCCTAAACCGAGGTAAGCCTTAACTAGTTGCGAATTGTAAGCAAAAAGCTGTATTTTTCAGCTCACCTCCTTGCCCAGTGGCATGCCGCTGCCCAACACGAATGTTAGGCCCAAAACCTTGGCCACCAGCGTCTTAAATGTGAGATAGTTCTTCAGTGGAACGCCACGCAGAATGGTCTTCATTTCAGGTATGCCAGAACCTTAAAGTTTAAATTATAGTGCTGGTTTAGGAGAAAGAATTGTCAACAGACAGCTCCTACCTGCAGCTTGGGGTGCCAAGTAATGCACAAAAGTGGCTGAAAATAATATCATTAGCACGGGTATTGTGACCCAAGTCAAATACTGGGCAAATGGATCGGCAGTAATATCCTTATAGAACCAGAAGCGCGCTGAAATGAAAACGAAAAGTTAATTTATATATCTGCACATCAGGCTATAAGCTGGTATTACCTGCCACAAACAAGCGTATGCCTTCGTCCATGGCCAGGGATATGAGGGCCATTATAATGGCGCATGTGGTAAGAAAGATCCAATCCTTGCTCAGGCGATCGGAGACATGGTGCCACGCCCACGAGGACATGCTGTGCAATCTCGTCGGGTCATTGGACTCCAGCTGCAGCAGCTGTACGTAGGGAAGGGCGTTTGTTGTTAATTAATTATATGTTATGTAAGTTGTATCCAAACCTGACTCCTGAGCTTATCCTCCTGTTTGCGCAACTTGGCGAGCTTGCGCAATCTTCGTGCCTCATCGCCTGCAAATTGCTGTAGATCCCTAGAATAACGGCCATACATCTACAGATCAATACCAAAAAAAAAAAAAAAAAACAAGAAAAAACCGAAAAAATAAGACATGACTCATCAATATTTCAGACGGTAGGACAAATAAAAAACAGACAGAATTTGTCACATGTGAGGTGCTAAAAAATTAACGTATTTAGATAGTCGCACAATACATGCCACATACATACACATACATATATATACATTTTTTTTATGTATGTTTTCTGGCAAAATATAAAAGAATTGTAAATAATATAGTCACATTTTTCACATGCGCAGCGAATTAAACACTTTAAGCGATGCTAATTAGCCACAATTAACGCAGCTTGCCCGGAAAATAATGGATAAAATTACAAAGAAAAAAAAAAAAACAAATTTGAAAAAAGGAAAAAAAAAAGCGTGACATTAATCAAAGCAGGTGGAAAAAAAAAGTGGATATTTGCATATCTAAAAAGCAATGCAAACAATTGGGGCCTCGGGCCTGCTCCCCACTCATGTCACAATGCCATCAAATATTAGACCAGGTAAGTGACAAATTATCACTAGATGTTTGCCAATTAGTTGTCAGACAATAGACACAAGCTGTGAACAGCAGCCAGCAAAAAATTGGTTTGATTGAATATCTTTCGGCTGTTTATTCAACAATTTTTTTATTATAAAATGTTTGGTTATACCCATTTGTCAGATTATATATTTTTGTCATAACAATTGTTTAACTAAGCTCGTACCAGGCGCGCGTTTAGATTCAGTTTCGGAATTTGCCAGCCTGATAGCTTTAATGGCGCGAAAGCTTTAGCTGGGTTTGTGTCTTCGCTATGCTACTCTGTGCATGCATATATCTAAGTTCAGCACCAGTGGGCCAGGATATGTGGAAACAGATCGTTAGATGCGCAATTTCTCAATTTCAGTTGTAATTAAATTGATTGAAATTGAACAAAAATCACATTGCTTCAATAAAAACTGGAACTAAGAAAATGTAGATGCACAGAGTTAAATTAGAATTTCAGGCGCAACGTAATGTATTTGCAAGAGCTTGAACTACATGAGTTCGATTTCTTAGGCTATACCTAGCTGTTGTACAACATGAAGAACCACAGCTTTATTTTATTTTCAAAGGACTCTCAGAACTTGTATTCTTAGTCTCAAAGAAAAAAGACTTGACTTTCGGCCGACTTTCATATTCTTTTAAGCCCACTTATCGCTCACCAGCGTATGCGTGTAGCCGAAATCTTCCTGATCATCGCCGGCGATCTCGCGTTTCTCCTGCTCCTGCCGCGCTGTGGAGCCATTGGAATATGTATCTGGCGATTGGGGCGCTACGATGCTGGCCGCGGGCTGCCGCGAGGACGAGACAATGGGCTCCACATCGTCGCGTTTCATTTTGATATCTATCGAACGGCGCACACGATAAGTGCCCTAATAATATTAATTATCGAAATATTTATTGACGTTATTTTTAAGTTTTATTTAATCAACACTTGCACTTTTTACTTCAGTTAATATTTTTTAATTATTTATTTATTTTTTATTGGCTATCGCGGAAGACATCCGACCACCAGCGCTGCCAAAATAGGTTTATCAACCCAGAGCAATAAATGCGCTGGAGTTTCCACAGCTGTTGCCCTCAGGTTGCTGCTGCTGCGGCTGCTGCCTCAGTCGACTTGGACGCAGCTGAAACAGTGCGAGTCCAACTGGCCAATAAGCCTACTAGGTGCTGTCGACATTCGCTCTCATTTTTCACCAAGCTGCGAAAGCTGCCCTATAAAATCGTTTTTGATATGGGGTTTGTTGAGTGTTAAGAAATCTTCACTGAAAACTAACTATAAAACTTGAAAGCATTTTGACTTGAAAGAATTTTCTGGGTTGAAGATTAAATACCATTGAAAGCAAGAGGGGTGAAACAGAAAAGATCAATAACCGCCAGTTATTTGATCATATTTAAAAAAGAAACTAATTTAAAAATATTGTTTGTTTTCTATTAAGATGTAAAGCAATTTATTTTTAAGAAGATAATCGAAAATTTTGTCCACTCTACCAATTATATCCAGTGAGAGCTTTTATTTTAGCGACCAAGGAAGGAAAAAATGAATTATTGTTTGCTGTGTTTTATTTCTGTAATAGATACAAATCGGAATAGCTTTCTTGTGTCGTTTAAATTCTTCCGATTTCTTACATATTATTACAAATGTCAAATCAATTCACATTTTTACAATTTATTTACAATTTATTTACTGGGTATCTTGTAGTTGATTTAGCTGAAAAGCCGTCAGTATGTGGGGCTTGCAATTCTGTTATTAATATCGTTAACATCTTTGAATTATGTAAAGCCGCACCTTGAAGTTCTGTTAACGTGCTGCTAATTTGTACAGAATATGTTAAGGCTCCATCTAGTTTAACAGCAGTAGTTTTTTACTGCTCACATCCAGAAATTTTGGCTGCTTTATATTCGAAAACGACTGGAAATGATTGCCCAGCATAGCAGCAAGCCGATAAAAACTGCAATCCACCAATTGAAGTTCTTTGAATAGATAGCACAACTGGTTTCGTCATCGTCAACCACGCCGCCCAGTTGATATCCGTATTTCATTTGGGCTTGCATGGATTGCTTCTCATAGAGTGGATAGTTTAGTATTGTATAATTCGCATCGGACATGTTTTCGGGGTATAAACAGTTCGCTACGAGTTCTTCAGTATAGCGAAATCTATAGGGCAAACATGTAAGGGCGACCACGTTCTCGATCGTTTTCCCAGTTTTTGGGTTAACAAAATGTCCATTTACATTTAATGCAATTTGGGTCTCATTAAATATTGCCGACTCGCCCATAGATATTAGATAAGCACTTTCTTTAATTTTGAATACTACATATGGCTCGCCTGCTGTCATTAATTTATCAATATATTTTTCGATTATCTTCAATGGGTAATTGCCGTTGCATACCCTAGTCCAATTTTCGTCAAATATGTCTGAGCAGCTTTTAGGGAGTTTTCGGGTTTTCATAATCTCGTGCTGCCTCCAAAACAATTTTCTCAGGCTCAATTTATAATAGTTGCTATTTTCAAAAAATACTTCAGTTTATTGACTTATAAGTCTGATGTTTTCAGACAAACAAAATCACAGTTCCCTTATATTTTAAATAAAAAAATATTTGATCTGTTTGTGCTTAACGAGAGTTCACTTCACGAAATAGTTGTCAGCTCCAGCCTCGAAACATTAAGTCGAATTTGTATGGATATTACTGAAAAAATTGATCTATTGCAAAAATTGAATATATAGCAATTACCTATAATGAATGTATATATCTGAAAAACTTTATTTTTATTCTTTAAGACTAAAAAGTGATGTATGACATTTCTGTTTCGACTCTCTGCTTCATTTTAGAACCCAATCATTATTTAGCTCTACATTTTAAGCATAAATACTTGCACTTTAAATTAAACAAATATTCTTCAACAATATATTTTTATATCAATCCAAACCTATTACTTTTGTATGGAAAGTTGATTTTTTCTTAAAATTATTTTAATATTTTTTGCTTGAGTTCTAGATCTAACAGTTCAATTATTTGTTATTAGCAAATATTCAACAATGGTCTAATAATTTAGCATCTTCGTGAATGATTGTTTACAATATTGCAAGCTAATCTATGATTCGATACAGAATTAGCCTGGTTAAGCGCTTTTGATTGAAATAGTTGAAATAGTAAAATGTACTCATTGCAAACCTGTTGCCAAAATTCGTTGGGTTAAATATTTCAAGTGGCCGTAATATGATCATTTTTTAAGCCCGGAATTACTCAATAGCTGAAATAAAAATAAGAGTTATAAGCTTACCTTTTGATTAAAAACAGGCCGATTCCGACCTAGAACTTTAACAGAATCTTAATCCGTATTTTTGTGAAGTGTTATCTTTAGATATAACAGAATACCTTTTAACTCGGGAGATTGCATTGCAATTAACCCAGTTCGATAAATATTAATTTTTGCTTGAGAATAACTTAACTTTAAAATTAAAAATAAATAAGGAAACTTGGTTCGAGGACAACCAGGCGCATGAAAAGAATCCAATGTCGAGGTTCCAACTTGATTCGATCCGCAGTTTAAGGCTTGACCTTGTCTTTTTGTTTGAGTTTACAGATAGGCATTAAGACAAATTTAACGTTTCGAATAATTTTTTCAATATTAATTTGAATATTTGTTAAACTTTTATTTCGCATTGCTTGTAACTTAAAAATAGATCACGATATCTTTGACTTTATGCACTAACGAGATATAAATACATAACAACTTGATAAGCTAATTAATTAATTATGACATAACTTAGTTTAGTGTTTAACTGTATCTTTACAGACTTTGCAACGGCATTAAACACGCATTGTTGCCGTGGCTAACGAGTTAACATATGTGGTTCGAAAGATGTTCGCTTAACCTAAACAGATTTGTTTATGTTCTGTGTATTGTTTGTGTCTTGTATTGTTGAATTTGCATTTGTATCGGTTGGCGGCATTGTGAGCGTTACTTCCGGCGTATCCAAAGACTTGAGATGCTCCATTTCAATGTCGGAACAATTGTCGGAATTGGAAAGCGCCGAATCCATTGAAGTGATGGTCATGTCTACGGCCTTGTCACTGGCACTGGCTGCGAGCAGTGGCTTCTCCACCGCTGGCTTGGAGTCGATCTCGTCGTCACGCGGATGTGCCACAAAGCTGTTGCTATTGATGTCCTCGATGGCCTTGCGAAGCTGTCAAATACGGTTTTAATAATCAGCTGTTAAAGTGCATGTTCAAATATTTGCTATGAACCAACCTCCTTGAGGCCTACCACGCCGACAAGTCGTCCTATTTTTGTTACATACGCATGATTGATGCCCACCATGGAGAACAGTGAATGCACCTTGAGTATGGAGGTGCGTTCGACCAGCTGAAAGGGCGAGGGATCAATGTGTATCTGTGTCTTTTCCAAATCGATGGGCTTAAGCATCTCTTCCAGTTCCCATTGCTTCTGATCCTCCGGGGACATGTCTATGACGCGCTCCCTAGGCTAAAAGAGGCAGATGCATAGGAGTGAACGTTTATGTGAGCTACAACTTATATATATGATTTATCGATGAGTCTATCTATTTATTGATACATACCAATTGCACCGATTTCGTCTTTTTAATAGTCGTATTCTGTTTAATGTGTTTGTTTGTGTTTGTTTGTGTGTGTGTGTGCGCATTGAGATATATATGTGTATACAAGAACAGTTACGATTGGAACAATAGAGAGAATAGAAAATGTTGTGGGTTAAATGTTGGACATATATATGTATATACATTAGATCGGTTAGTATGGATTACAATACACTGCATGGAACAGACTCTACTTACCTTAGCTCCATTCGGTTCGTTGTCAACAATCGATTTCTGATCGTCATCTTCTATATTTAGATCCATTTCATTTGATTCTTGCTTATCGGATAACTTATCCAACGTATAGCTACGATTTGGTGAATCTTTGACTCTCACATCGCTGCTGAATTGAATCTTTTTCTTTGGCTTTTTCTGTTTATCTATGTGATTCTCGTTAACATGGAACACAGCAGCCGGTTCGTGGGTATGTCTATTAATATCTGAAACTTTATTTGTTTTGTATTTAATGCAGGTCTTATCTGTATTCACATCGTTGAGCGGCAAATTAATTGGCTTATGCGAATCTCTATTGTCTGTTATGGCATCATCTTTGTCATCCTTATCGGGCGGCATACACAAAGCGTTAAATTTTATAGATATTATTTTGTATCACATGATTTCTGAGCATACAAATACAGCTAAGCAGCGGAGCGAAAAGAAAAACAAGAGCTGCAGCTACTTTCAGGACTATTCAGGACTGTCACAGATATCTTAAGAGATTGCATTTGACAAATCCCTAAATATTATTGTCGCATTTCGGCTAAATTATAGATATTTTATTTTTCTTTGACTAGCTTTAGCCCACAATAGGTATCTATTACTCAAAAACAAATTAGCTTAAATATTTATGAGTCAACAAAAGAAATTTGGAATTGAGTTCGGATTTAATTGAAAGCGATATCTGTGAAGCCTATCCTAACAAGATTCTTCAGTTAAAGATATATTACCATTTGTTTGGTGCCCTTCGTTTGCATTGTTATGGGATTTACTTGCTTGCAGATATAGAATAGGATTAGTAGTATGCCAGACACAGAGGGGCAAAGAGAGAGGGCGAGAGAGAGAGAGAGAGAGAGAGAAAGAGAGAGAGAGAGTTTCATCAGAATACCAAAGATGAATGTGAGGGTTCCTTTCATTCCTTTTTTCAGAGAAGCTACTTACCAGCATGATCTGATCGGTCACAAAGTTCCAATTGTTTTGTGCTTGCTTGGAATGCAAAATTTGTACAAATAAGCGTAACAGATAAAGCACATGGTGGAGCTTAGCTCCATTAGTAGTTAAGCGTGCGCTCCCCCCGGAACCATAGATTGTAGTATGAAAGGATATTGGACTTACCAGCTGAACCTTCTTAGATATGCCGGGTGTACTGGGTGCACTGGGCGCACGCTGAACTTGCATCTCATTGTTGCTGGCCACCGGCGAGATGGAGCCCATTTCCGGATCCGGTTGCACATCCTGCAGCGTGGTGGACTTCTTAAATATGGCCTCAAAGGCGGAGCGTATGCGGAACTCTGAGTTGCCCGTGATGGTGGTGTAGGGCGTAATGCTGGGGCTGTGCGGCGAGGCGGGCGCATAGGTCTTCAAGTTGAAGGAGTTGGTCTTCTTCAGTATGGATTTGCGTGGCGTTAGGGAACTGTGTATGGTTTCGGCGCGCTTCTTGGGCGGCAGCATCTCATCGTTGGCAATCTGACGCAGACTGAGTATATCCGGTGCGGGCAGCACCTCGAAGCGTGAGGGTCGACGTTGCTTGAGCTCCGCTTCCAGCTTCTTTTTCTCCTCCTCCAGGGCCCGCTCCTCGGCCTCCTTTTGCCACTTTTGAGCCACCTCCATGCGCTTCTCGCGTCCTATGTGCTTCTCAATGATCTTGATTAGCTCGTAGCGCTGAACGGAGCCCAGCAGAATCATGTTCTCCGGACTGTCGACCAGCGGCAGCGAGCGCAGCGTCTTATTGATCTTGAGCACCTCCTTGAGCTTTTGATAGGAGATGCCTTGCCAAATGTACTTCACGTCTCGCACCATGAAGTCCTCCACAAAGATGCTGTACATGCCGGAGCTGGAGGGGAGCAGATCAGGCAGATACGGCAGCTTCTTAATCAGTATAATACTGTCGTAGATCGAGGGCTGCAGCAGCGCTGCCACCGCATTGGCCACCAGCACGGCTATCATCACGGGCACAACATGCGTTATCTGACCGGTCATCTCAAAGATAATCACTGCCACGGATACCGTATGCGTCACAGAGCCAGAGAAGGCAGCTGCGCCGACAACGGCATAGCCACCTGGCATAATGGGTGACAATCGACCGCCGTAGCGCACGCCATGTGGAAACCAGGAGGCCATCAGTTCGCCCACCAAGCGACCAAATGCGGCGCCAATTTTAAATACCGGTATGAACATGCCCGAGGGCACAGGTATCGTGGACGCAATGATGGAAAAGAAGAACTGCGCAACGAAACATTCAATTAGTTGTGCATATACGCAAAATATATTTTATAATACTTGCCGTGAAGATGGTAAAGATCACCAGATTGGCAAAGACGCTGGTGTAGCTGGTCATCCAGTGGGTTACGACGGCAGCCTGTTCCACGGTCAAATCTTCGCGTGACCAGCTAAAATTGCTGAACAGCTGTGTCACCTGCTCATGTGTGCTGAGCTCACCAGCCAGAAACTGACCCGTGCCCAGGGGAAATGAAATGCTGGAGACCAACAGTGCCAGAAAGCCAGGATACAAAAAGCGACTGAAATGGATGAACATGTGTTAAATAATTCAATGATGTAACGGAGCTTTATGCAGAGACAGTTTCTTAGCGCTCACTATCGATAATTAAATAGCTATCGATAAATTTGCCTGACATAAGTAATCGATGACTTGTGTACTCACTTTTTCTGCAGAAATTTGTTCATGCGTTTGTTGGAGCGCATGAAAAGGACGTAGCGACGATGCACCCAAACATAGGTGGCGCCACCCAAGCCGCAAACGAAGCTGTTCAAAGGCAAGAATCCTTAAATGCTAATTTTAATAATAAACACTTGAAGACTCACCCAATCAATGCAAAAACAAACAACTCCTGCGGATCAAAGGGAAATTCGGTGGTGAAATTGGTCAGAAACAGCGCACGCACAGTGTCCGCATTTTGAAACCAAACGGCGAGCAGTCGAAAAACCGTGGCACCACAGACAGCCGCAAAGAAACCGCGCCAATAATTGCGCACCGCAAAATAGGTTGTGGTTACCTCAATGCTGAACAAAACGCCTGCAGGTGGATCGTTTTGCTCGGTTTTTTTTTTCTGCTGTTACTCAGCTAATCAATGAGGATCTAATCGATCTCTCCTGTACTCACCACCAACGGGCGCGGCAAAACAGGCGCCCACACCGACGGCACAGGCCGCCGCCAGCATTTCAGAGTTGCGGGACTCGTTCTCATAGATGCCTTGGAATGATGTGACGAGTTTACTTAATAATTGTGCTACAATACTTGCTATATGTACGAAGGGACCCTAGAGACGAAGTTAGTAGTTTTTTTTTTAAACTTTTTTAAGAGTTTTCCAAACATTGTGAGTGTGTTCGTATGTGTGTGTGTGTGTGTGTGTGTGTGCCGCTTTTTAAGCTAGCATCAATTTTTCATACTTACTTCCTTTCCTAATGGCATACCGCTGCCCAGAGTTGCCGTTAAACCAATTACCTTGGCCACTAATGTCTTAAATGTGAGATACTCTTTCAGCGCAACGCCACGCAGAATGGTCTTCATTTCAGGTATACCGGAACCTAGACACAGTTAGGGTAATACAATACAATACAATATGTATGTGAAATTTGCATTGAGCATATGCATAGTGCTTGGGTATGTACAGAAATATATTATTCTTGATTCTTTTATAAGGTGTTCAATTCGAGTATATAACATATAGACACAGGGGATATATCAGTTATTGGAAGTGCCAAGTGTGCTTGGTGTGGGCAGCTGCCGGAGTGCAGTGGTACAGGGTAATCTATGGTAATCTATGCCTTGGAAAACAGATAAATATATATATATAACATTGAGGTATCAAAGAAGCTGGTAACTGGATGCATAAACCCAAAGAGAATATTTTGAGGGGTTCGAATTGTTGAAAAATGATTTAGATAAACACATCTTCCGAAACACTTGAATCTGTATAAATTGGTCTTACTAACTAAAACCTAGACAACCATCGAAGTAAGTAAGTAAGTAAAAAAATTAATATAGTTTTCAGTTTTGTAGTTAGTTTTTGCATTGGAAAACCCAAATAACTACAATATATCAATTCATTCTAGAGCTATAAACTAGACTACTTTCGTGTTCGGCAGATTAGTTAAATAAAACACAAAAAATACTCTCGAATATACGAAATATACTGTTAACAAAAACTACCAAATACTGTTTACTTAAAAGAGGAACAAAACTAAATACCAAAGTCTACTTAGCATAGATAGCTGGGCACTTACCTATACTTTGTGGTGCGATTAGATGCACAAAGCCGGCTGAGAATAATATTAAACAGACCGGCAATGAGACCCAAGCAATATACTGTATGAAGGGCTGTGAGGTAAGATCGCGATAGAGCCAAATACGAGCTAAAATGATATCAGACCAAAATAGTTAGTGCCTAAAAAGGCGAAGGGCTCAACTATAGGTTGACTTGTGATGCGCTTTTACCATTTGTACATATCGATATGCCCTTGTCCATGATGAAGGAGAGCAGGGCCATTATGATGCCGAGCAGGGCTAGGAACACCCAGTCCTCGCCCAGGCGTGCCAGTGTATGCTTCCAGACCCATGATGAGATGCGCTTTATACGCGTCGCTCGCTTGCCCAGCAATTCCTGTAAATATTTCCCAGCACTGCTGCTTTATAAACCGATGCACTCGAAATGCTCTCAAACTATGTGTTATATGGATATTGCTTGTGTATTTATAATATAGCTACTACTGTCGATGGGTCTGTCTATTGGGATGGATGCCAAATTATTTTTGTGTGCTGAATCAAAATGGCGTTCATGAATTCATGAATGCGAGTAGTTAGCATAATTTGGTCGCCATTGAACATGATGTCAAATGAATTTATATTTTAGATTATATATTCTATATACAAACAAGAGATTTACCTTAAGTATTTATATATTGCTCATTACGTTTGCATTGAATATTATGTGAATTGTCACATGATTAAACAAATAAAGTCTTTGAACAATGTTCATATATTTAAAATTTACCTTATTCCTTTGTTTATCTTCTTGCTTTCGTCGCTTTTCGAGTAGTTTGAGTTTTCGGGCTTCATCTTTAGCAAATTCTCCTAGATCTTTCGTGTAACGACCATACATCTGTGCATAAATATAAAAAAAAGCATTATAGTATATATTCTATATATTTTTTCTATATCTATTACACGTCTTTATGCGCTTGCTTAATTTTATATGGAGATTGAGCGTACAAATAAATAGACATTTTTCACCATCCTCCAAGAATGCCAAACACTTACTAACGCATTCGTTTCACTTGTTGATCAGTTTGGCACCAGGCAAGAGTCCAATATACAATATAAATAACTTAAAAAACTCTCATCTTTTAAAATAAACAAAGCAACAAACACACAGAAAGAGAACATATCCCATGGGCAAAGAATTTTCGTCATGAAACGATTTTTCATGCACGGAAATTCCCATAACAATAACAAAGTAAAAGAAAACCTTAGCATTTCCAAAGAGGTCGACAATGATAAGCCAGATAAAAGCGCTTTCAAGTCTTTTTAGGATATGTCATAATAGAGGAAAAATCATTTGGCTAACTCTACTTAAAGAGCAAAAAGGTGAGGTAAGAATGCTGTCAACAATTTATAACAAACATGATATCTTTTCAAAATTGAAATAACCTTCTCTATTTGTTACCAAAAATGTTCAACAAATTCATTTTTAAAGTAAACTACAAGAAAAATATGTCGGCCATTATTTTAGTTATATTTTATTATAAATATTTGTTAATCTGTACCTAAAATCAGTTTTTAATTTTTAAAGTCTGCATCAACTTGTGTTCTCTGAATATACATGATAGTTTTTAATCTCTCATTAAAAAATTTAAATAGTTGTTTCATTCCGCGAGTGCTTCAAGTAAAACCCATTCGAAATGCAATCCGAAAATATGTTTCGAAAGGTGTCTAAGACATTTGCCACGGTCAAAACAAAAATGAACTACATAAATAAATAAAAATTGCTCAGGCATGCGACAAGAAAAACCAGCAAGAACCAAAGAAAATTATAAGAAAATAAAAGAAAATGTAGGCAAAAAAAAAAAAAGAAAGCAAAAATCAAGAGCGACGCTAATTTCCCAGAGGTCTGGGCGAAGGTCTGCTTTGGCTGGGAATATGCGATGTGTCTTCGCTTTGACTAGATAATACTCTATTCTATGTATGATTCGAACCAGTGCGATCTCAGCGTAAAGCTAGTTTTTAACAGTGTTGAGCACATCCATACTTTCTTAAAAAAAATAAATGTCGCTTTTTTTTATATTTACTCAGTTTCATTTATCGAATTTTGCATTAAATATTGTATACACAAATGTTATACAATTTGTAAAAGTATTTTTTAATGAAAGCTTCTAATACAGCTCAGAAAATTCAGGTTCGAACCGGCTTGGCTATTAACCGACTCATACCTAAATCCTTTAATTCATATGCTTACATAGTAGAAAGCCTCAATTTCGAACTCAATTTGATTCTTGTCATCGCTGACTGTTTCGGCGGGTTTGGGTTTGGGTTTCCGTTTCTGTTGTTGCTTCTGTTTGGCAATGGCCTCATCCCAGCGCAGGCGGACGGGCGTGGAGGCTAACTTGTGGGCAAGCTCCTCTTCGCGCAGATAATCCGCGCGATTAATCAGCAGCTCCGGCTCAAAGGCGTATTCCCGAATGTACTCATCCTGGTGAGTGCGACTGTTGTTGAACATGAAGCAAACCGATTTGACTACCGCACACAAATACGTTGCGAATTGCAATTCGAATTGACGAATCTGATTGTTCTATATTTGATCGTGCTCTTGTTGTTCTCGTTGTTGTTGTTGTTGTTGTTGCTGTTTTTGTTGCTGCTGCTGCTGCAAGCGTGTTTTGTGTCAGTCGCATAGATCCGTATTGCGGCCTTTGACATGCCTGCGGCTGTTGGCCGAATTTCTGTTTCGCATTTTGTTGCCAATTATTTTTAGTTTTCGCCGATGTTGTTGTTATCGTTGTTGTTGTTGTGCTTCTTCTTCTTCTTCTGCTCAGTTGATATCTCTCATTGCAAGTCGTCGGAATTACATGTCGCTGCCCTTGAGGCCCGTCCCGTCAACAGTTGTAATTTTTATTGCAATTTATTTTTAACATATTTACAACGCTGCTCGGCCTTTAATTATATTATTGATGCACCATAATTTTTCACTTGATTTTTCCCGAACGCACAATTTTGATTTATGGATAAATATCAATTAATATTTATAAATATTTTTCCATACACTTTCACATCGATTATAATTTCTTTCTTAGTTTTTTCTATTGATTTACGCGTGTTTGTCCGACATTCACACAACGTTCTAAACTTTGTGAAAACTTTTTTCAAACTAAAACGGACGCTCTCAAGCTTTTCCGTTTGTGTGAAAAATTATTGAAAATTTTCTTTCAACGCTTTGCATGGGCCAGGGTAACCAGCTATGCTGACAAAATCTCAATTGTTAGAATGTTTAGAAAGCTCTCAAGAGTTCTTGCCACTTGTTGGAAGCTTAAGTTTCTTAATTCTTAATAAATTTCAAAACAATTAAACTGATATTATTTCAAAATCCCATAGGACTTATAAAAATAAACTGTGTGTGCGTAAAGAATGTTTGATAAAAAATAATTATTTTTTTTTTTGCTGGCGTTTCTCTACATTCTGTTAAACTGTAAACACTTCAATTTTCCTCATTATTTTAACTGTTGTTCATAACGTTTTCTTAGCTCTCTTAACCTCAAAATAAACTTAATGTTAAAAATTCTTTGGGCAGCATGGTCACCCTGTTCCTTGCAGCCTACTACCTTCTACATTGAAATAATTTCTTAACTTATAATTAACACTAAATATTATTCATTATAATCCGATTATAAATAGCAGCATAATTTTTGCTAGTCTTCCCATTCCCATTCACTATTTTTCATTGCTTTCACACAAAGACTCGGATAGGAAAAGGGAATCGAAACACTCAAGAAAATGATGAAAACGTTGAGTTTGGTTAAAACAACAAGCTCTATACCCTAACTCTTGACTGTACCAAAAATGTAAATGTTTTGTAAATTAAATTTTCCTGTTTTCACAAATTCTAAAATCTTTTCGTAAATAACTTTGAATGTTCTCAATTCACAATTAATGCTCAATCTGGCTTCGATTTTAGAATCTTTAATTATTTTCATTAAATCAAATCGTGTAAAATTCAGATTCGATAGATAAAATATAACCTTTTAAAAAATAATGAAATTATGTGAAATGTATGCTCTGCGTAGACTTTAAACTTCTATTAATCAGATTAAACTGAACCAAATTTAATGAGGAATCATATTCTGGAAATTTTCTGAATGCCTTGTTAATATATTTTAGAAAATGCTCCTAATATTTTTTCTTACCCAGTTTATGATGAACGTCTTAGTGCATACAATTTAATCTTTGTACGTTTTGTGGTTCTGGAAATTCCGCTTTTTCTTATGGTTATTGAGTCTATGCAAAGAAATTTAAACGATTTTCCCATTTGCTGTCTGATACCGATAATTATGATTATACAAATCACATATTGTTAAACTGAACAAGATCAATTAAATTGATATATAGCCTGGTTATAACCAGACATGATTGTTGATTGGATTGCGTGGTGCATAGGCCACTCATGATCGATATAAAGATAACGCTCTTGTTGGACTCGTTACTAGGTAAGCTACATATATGTAGGTCGAGAAATCTTATCACTAAAACGGATGTCTTAATGGAATAGATTAACAACAGTTTGTGCACTATAGAACTGAACCTGCCAGAACCAGTGACAGATGATAGATAGAAATTGTGTTGCTTACAAGTGTATCGATGTATCCAAACGGATCATCATCGTCCGATGAGTCGGAGTCGGGCCCATTCTCGGCCGGCGGCGGACAGGGATAGAATGCCTGCGACTTGACTTTGGGATGACGCGGAACATGACGCAGCTCCACCTCCATGGATATGTTGCTGTTGCGTCGCTGGCGCAACTGACGAATGAACTTCTCAAAATCGGCCCACTCGGAATCGACCAGCTCGACATTCTCTTCGCCAAACTCTTCATCGTGTATGATGCGTTCGACTTGCTGTTTGGCTTTGGCTTTGGCTTTGCCGTTCCGATCACGATTGTCGCGAGTGGCAAAGTACACCATGGTGCCTATTTGGTGTGTGTGTGTGTGTGTGTGTGTGTGTGTGTGTGTGTGTATAAGTAGGCAGCAGAGAGTGCCGCGATATCGATACGAAAAACGAGCCAGGAACTAATCAACAGTCTGGGTGACCGAGCGTGGCTATTGCCATGGCTAAAAGCCTTAACGGGCTAATCAGTTTACGATATTTTCTACCAAAGCGCGCAGCTTATGCAATTGCATTAATTGAGCGCTTCCCGTCCTGATTGTATCTATTGCACTTTTGTATCCGCCAGATACTTTTTGCTGCGTGCGACTCGCACCGAGCTTAGAACTCAACTGAATCTTTAGCATACTCGACGATATTGTCCCGTTTAGGCTCAAGACTTTACGGAATTTAGCACACCAATACCAGTGTACTCGTAGTAGTCTGGGACCCGGGCTTACAGTCTCAAGTGCTTAGAAGCCACTTGCATTTGCCCACGGCTCCCCTCATTCCCACACACACACACCCGCACACCCGCACACCCGCACAACCATCCGCACTCGAGCGTTCAAAGTTTGTGTGTAAGACATCAATAAAATTTCATAAATTTAATAATTTGTGCCGCCAGTGCTAGAGCAAAAGTGAAAATGAGTCTGTTGGGTTGACAACAAGCCACGACGCACAGTGGGACAAAAGCAATTGCAAACAGCTGCTTTGGCAAAATATGATTTTGATTATGATAAAGTGAATGCTGCACAGTGCCGGCATGTGGTTAGCCGAGCACCTAATTTTACAGTTCGATTAGTTCTTGCGACTTGCCCCACTGTGCCATGTCACTTAAAGAGCTCAAATTGAGCTGACTTTTCGACGACATCATCTTGCTTTAATCTCTTCAAGTGTTTTCTACAGTTATGTGTAGGTGGATTATGCACATGGCACGGAGTCACATGTTTGTGATTTTCTATGCGGCATTTT